ACGAGGCAATTGCTAGCTACGGCCCTGATTAATGTTATAAATATCAAGGATATTAAGATTTTAGAATAGGGGCGCAGTACGAGCTAGGTATTCGGTTCCACTTATAATTCTGACTATACATTTCTGCAGGAGGAAAATCCTGTATAAATTACAAGGATAAGTTGAGGACCATACGATATTACAATAACTGAGATAAGGATACACGAAAGTGTGGTATAAGGTTAGTAAAGATTTTGAAGAAAGAAAGAAACGAGATTTGCTTATTATTCCAATAGTTTTTGATATCTTTTTAGTAATGTGGGATATATGTTGCTTCCACGAGAGATGTTGATCAACAAGAACTCCAAGAAACATTGTTACCTCAACCTGTTTGATGCTGATATTGTCACGAGTGATGTTATCATTAACAACAATAAGTTTCGGTTTTGGACAAAAAAGAATGTAATTAGTTTTTGCAATGTTAAGTGATAGTTTATTAGCATCAAGCCAGCACATTATCTTCCTTATTTAACAATTCATGACAGATATGGTCTGGTTGGGATCTTTATGAGAGTGAAAAAGACTAGTATCATGATCAGTAAATAAAAGAGTTTTTACTATATCAGATGCATTTGGGAGGTCATTGATATAGATGATTGATATAGATGTTTCTTGACACGTGACGATAACAAAGCTATCATCAACTTGTCGAGGTGGCATTTCCATGAGATAACTTTACGTACAGGTAATCTATGCATTAGGCGCTCTTGCAATGTGTTTTGAGATTTCTTAGTTGAAATAACTCATTAATATCTACATTATACACGAAGGCAGAACATGACATGGTCACTTTGTGACCTGTCAATCATTAAGGAAATAGTTATAACAGTGTTATGTAATCAATAAAATTCTTTAGGTTAGAGCAAATAGTGTCTGCGCATTTCTTTGTTTTTTCATTCGTTTGTTTGTTTCTCTATTTAAGTTTCCTTTTTCCCATCGCAATAATCCTCCCTTTATCAATTCATCAATTTGGCATTTAATATCAAGAAGAGACGAAACTCACCTCGGTTTCTGAACCTTTTTCTTTCAATTAACAATGCTGAAATGATCAATCAAAGCCAGATATTTCATGTGTTTTTTTTGGAAAGAAATTGTTTTTTTTTTCCTTGTAAGTAACTGTACTACTGGGCCACCGTAATTATCACACCAGTAACCATAAACAAATGAAAAGAGAATAACATTTAAATCATTTATCAAAACAAACCACAGCTTATTTGTTCCAAGAGAAGAAAGCTTATTTCTTCATCACAGTAAGGAGCCTCTTTAATCCACTTCCCTGGTTTCAAATGAAAACATTTAAAAAAACTAGTACTTTTCTCAAAGCGATTTGGATCCAGGATTGAAACTTGTGTAGAAGAAATCGCTTTAACGTAGTAGTCTCCAATTAATGACTTTACCGTTCATGCATTTGAAAAATCTAAGACAGGCTACTACGGCAACAACAACAATAACTGTGCATGTCCTTCTTCAATGGCATTTTAAAAGGAAAACAAGATCAGCAAGTGAATTTGTTGGTAAAAAGTAGCTTCTTTTGAGTAAGTTCAACTCGTTGAGAAATCCTTCCTTTACA